ACATTACTCCAGTCACTGTGTCAATCCATCTCATCTGGTGATCTTTTTCTCCTGCGCTATCCCTCTACCATTCCAAAGTATAATGCTCTATTCCCAGGATTAGTCCCTCCCAGCAACATGCCTAAGGTATGTGAGACAGAGCTCCAAAATCCTCGTCTCCAAGGAGTAACTTGGCCCCTAAACATGGCAGTTTAGACTAATTCAATTTTGAGTTCTTTCTCTCTCTCTCTCTCTCTCTCTCTCTCTCTCTCTCTCTCTCTCTCTCTCTCTCTCTATATATATATATATATATATATACACACACACATTCATATGTATATATAAAAGACCTTTTCTTTTCATAAAAATTCTTTTTTCTTTCAACATAATAATAACTTTCTCAAGTTGTTGTTGTTGTTATGTGCCATCGAGTCGTTTGCGACTCAAAGCGACACTATGTACAAGAGCCCTAAACGCCGTTCTATCCTGTGCCAACCTCGCTGTCTGAAACACATTCATTCCCACCACTCCACTCACAGAATCCATCTCATAAGTGAACAAAGAAAAATCCACCTAGAGGCTTTATCCGAAACAGGCATCAACCCCCCTGGGAAAAGCTGGCTTGCAGAGCCTTTTGGGGAGTGTAGTCCATGAGGGTGGTGAGCCGACCGGCGCTTTCGCTTTGGGATTCTGGGAAATGTAGTTCAGGAGCTGTGTGCGAGGGAAGCACTTCCGCTCCAGAAAGACGAGATCGGGGCTGTGATTGCTCCTGGGAGGTGAGTCCACACGCGCCCTGCGCCCTCGAGCCTTCCTGGCCTGGGCGTGGGGCCAGTGGTGACTAGCCCTCGCTCTCGGAGGCGACAAGCCACATCTGCCGCAGATAACGAGATGGGGAGGCAGAGTTGACAGTTCGCGCCCCTAATCGGAGCCTCCCGTTTAGAGGCGGCTCGCATCATGCCTCGGGTTTGAGGGTCTCCAGTCCTCTGCACCCCGACCTTCCTCCCTACCTCTGCCTCTTCCTCGTGTAAAATACTGGGCAGTTTAATTACTCTCTCCGTGCTTCAGTTTTCTCATGGTTCAGAAGGATTTGTTCTTTTGATGGTTTAGCGGTAAGGCATTACACTGCCAATGCAAAGATGCATGGTATGAATCCCCGGGAGAAAGATGAGCAGTCTCCTCCTGTCCTATTTACTGCTTCTGAAACCCATTGGAAGGTCAGCTCTGGGTTAGTTCCAAGTCGATGGTACTTAACAACAATAATGTTCTTGCATTGTATGTAAACAACTTTAAACTGTGTCCATGGCGTGAGAGATTGCAAACTGACTTTTGATTCTTTTTAATAATTGGCACTGCAAATGCTGGGGATGGAGTCAGATTTAATCCCTGCATGCTGTGCCTGGACATCCGACTGCCCTTGATCACATACTTAGCAGGAGAGAAATCACTCCCAGTCAATCTGGGGAATGTCCTCAGGTGTATCCCACATGGTGAGCACAGCTTTGCACAATGCCTGACGTGCACCCAAGTGCACAGAGCTGGTGTGTACTTACAGCTTTGATTTTTAAGTAGTGAACCATTTAAGTAGGAACTTAAGAGTCTTGGGGGTATTTTAGCATATGGGAGAAGAGGCTTTGTTGAAGCTCTGCTAGTTTATGAAGTGTTTATAACTATTGTTATGTGCAGTCCAGTCAGAACTGACTCATAAGCTGACCCTCCAGCAGGTTATCAGAGGCTGTAAAACGCAGGGGAGGAGATTGTCGAGCTGTCTCCCAAGGAACCACGTGCCTTTAGGTTGGCAACCAACTCCTTACCACTAGACCACCAGAGCTCCCTATTGGGTGGGAGGAAAATCTATTGCAATTTAATCATCATGACAAAGAAACAAATGATAAGTGAACCCTCTCGGAATGGGAATTCCAGGGGATGTCTTGTTTTTCCAGCTCTCACAAGTTGTTTGCCTTTGGCAGGGAGCAGTTCTATCCCCCGTCTGTCTCTTTTTGGTGGAAACTTGAGTTTTCCTTCTCTGACAGATTTTCATATGTTCCACCGTTGCCAGTTTTACTGTAATATATACGACAACTAGTAAGAATTGGACTTTTCTGAGGCTTACTGACTTGCCTCTCAGAGGAGGCTGATTTCTGAGTTTCTGGGAGGCATCCTGTTCTAGAAAGCACACGTGCAGAGACAGTTCTAAGAAACATAATGTTGTTCATTGCCATCAAGTTGGCTGCGGCTAGTGGTGACCCTGTGTACAAAAAGAATAAAACTAAAGGTTGCAGTCCTGGCTGCCGTGAGAATAATTAGTTTGCTCAAGTTCATTGTTGTAACCTTAGTGCATTTGCAGAACCTCCCAGCCTGGGAGGGAGCTCTGGTGGGATCATCTGTGGGGAGTTGGGTGACCAACCCAACGACCACACCACTCTGGTGGTTCAAGTCCACCAGCGGCTCTGAAGGAGGAAAGTGGGCAATCCTCCCAGCCTTGGAAACCAAAGTCAGTTCCAATTCAATGACAACAAGTTTGAGTTTTTCTCAAAGTGGCTCCTCCCCAGCATTGTATGAGACACTCTTCTGTTCCACACCATAACATTTCCACTGGCTAATTTTCAGAACTAGATTTGCAGGCCTTTTTGTGTAGTCTGTTTAATCTGGAAGCTCCAGTGAAACCTTCCTATCATGGTTTCCTTTTGTTTGAGATGCTAATGGTGAGATGTCAACGGCATAGCAACCTACAGACAGCTGATGCCACAGACTGACAGGGGTTGAACAAAGTATCGGAAAGAATAAAAAGAACACAGGGCTGTGGAGTTAGCATCTATTCATGGAAACCTTGCATGGGAATTTCTGAGGCTGTAAATGGTAACATTAGCAGGAACAGACAGCCTCATCTTTCTCTGATGGAGCAGCTAATAGACTCAAACTGCTGACCTTTTGGTTAGCAGCACTATGTAGAAGGCGCTGTGTCACCAGAGCTTTGCACCAGGGATGCTCAAGAGCACCCGCCTATCTGATGCTGGGCAATAAACATTAATGAAGATGGAATAGACCAGGGACTGCCGGAAGAATGAACACGTCTGTATTAGAAACAATGCATCCAGGCGCTCCTATGAAGTAACCGTGAGAATTGTAAAAACCATGAGAAAATTGTGTCACATCCTTTGGGCTTGTTATCGGGAGAGGGAAATCCCTAGAGAAAAAGACCAGAGACCCTCAAGAAGATGGACTGACATAGTCACTGAAACAGTGACTCAGATATTTTTATCAGTTGTGAGCATAGCGCCGCGCCAGGCAGGGTTTTGACCTCTTTTACATGGGTTTCTATGATTGGGAACCAAGTAGACAGCACCTGACAGCATCCAAAGCTCCAGGCAATAGGGACGACAAACATTGTTATTCCTATTTGCCAGCAAGTGGATAAGGTGCTCAAGCTTTACACTGTTAGTTAAGTAGAAAGTGTTAAGTGGAAGTAAATGGAATGGAAAAGGCTAAGGGAACATCAACCCAAAAGGAATCAGACATTATGTGTCTTGCAGTTAATAATCTGGAGTAGGACATGCATAAATGGTCAGATGGGGAAAGCAGGGGATGGGGGGTGGGGAAGAAGAATGAAAGACTAAAGAAAAGTTCGAGTGGTTCGAGTCCACCTGCTGCTCCGTGGGAGAAGGTTGGGCAATCTTCTCCCGTGCCATTAACTGTCTCAGAAAACCCACTGGAGGGTCAGCTATTAGTTGGACCCAACTCCACAAGCACACAACAACAGCAGGAAGGAAAGAAAGGTTTGCGGATAGAAATAACTGTGTGGGGTTGACAGGGACGGGAGCTGGGGAGGGAGCAGAGAAGAGTGAACGGACCGGGAGGGTGAAGGGAAAGGCAGGGTACAGCGAGGTTCTGGTAAGATGTATGCTATACAACTGTAATTCATGTTTTAAAATGAAATGTATATGAGTGAATAAAAACCAATAAAAATTGATAAAATGCATGACACCTGTATTTTTAAAAAGTGGAAGAATTAGAAATTAAATCCAGACATTTAGGCCAGAGGATATATCTTTTTTCTTAAAAAAATAAAATTTTATTTTAATTGTGATTTTTTTGTTTGTTTTTTTATTTATTATTAATTTCAATGAAAATTTACAGAGACTTTGGATTTCCATTCATTCATTATTGTACTTTTCTCCCCTACCAACCCTTTAATTGTGATTTTAATGACCATTAGATTTTCATTCATTATTACACATTTTACCCACTCTCCCTCCTTTCCCCTCCCCAGTTCACTATTTTTTAATATTCATTCATTGTTGCACATTTTACTCCTATCCCTCCCTCCTCCCCCAGTGCATGCTTTTAAAAAATATTCATTCATTGTTGTACAATTACCTACTTCCCACACACAACCCAGTCCTCTTGGCAACGATGCAGCTCTTATTCTGGGCTGTTGCCGTATGTATAATGCCTAATCATATATTCCTTTTATATAATTCTTTCTTTGATCTGTTCCAATACAATATTGTCTGTCCACTCTTATCCTATTCTCCTCCCAACCCATATCAGACCTGCTTTATGACTTTATCCTTTTGTGACTGAGATATTTAACTCAGCATGATGTGCTTCAGGGTCTCCCATGTTGTGTAATGTTTTATGAGTTCCTTGTTTTTCAGTGCTGCATAGTATTAATTTTATGAATATACCATAGTTTTCTGTACATTCATTTGTCGATGGGCACTTGAGTTGCTTCCCAGAGGATACATCTTATACTACCCATTAGCCCCTGGTTTCCTCTGAAATCGAGGGGCAGGTGGGGTGCTCTGAGGGTCACTTGGGTTTCAGATGTTGGACAACAAGATGTCTGGCAAATGGGACACAGTCACAGCTAGAATCCAGCCCCTGTTCTCTCAGCTGTGTGTGCTAGAGAAGAGGGATGTCTTTCTGCTGACACCAAGTTGTCTATGGACCAGCAGCATCCCATAATTCACGTGCTGTCTTTCCTTCTCCCAGTTCAGCCTTCCCAGACGCTGGCTCTCCCCAGAAGGAAGAGGAGAAAAATGACTAAGTTCCAGGTAAGCTGGGTTTGCCTGTTTCTTAAAGTGATATCACATTTCACTTCAAATGACAGTCCCATTTTCCAAAGATGTGGCCCACTTCTCTCCTGCTTGGGAAGGTGCTGTCGAGGCAAATCTGATTTATAGCAACTCGGTGTGCAGCAGATCCTGCGCTGTCCTAACAATCGCCACTGTGCCTGTGCTCCTTGTTGTAGCCACTGTGCCAGTCCTTGGTGTTCCCCTCCGAAGACTGGCCCCTTCTGACAACATGCCCAAAGTATGTGAGATGAAAACCAGCTTCAACTCCTTGCTTTCGAGTGAGAACCGATCCATAGATGAATCTCCAGCAGGTTTTCAGAGGCTGTAAATCACACGGGAAGAGATTGCCTGTCTCTCCCACAGAGCAGCTGGTGGATTCAAACCACCTGCCTTTGGGTTGGCAGCACAGCTCTTACCCACTAAGCCATTAGAGTTCCCTACGTGCAGTGAAGTCTTACAGTTTTTGTTTCTAAGGAGAACCCTGGCTGTGTTTTGTCCAAGACAGATGTATTTGGTAGCCCATGGCACCGTAATCTTTGCCAGCACCACAACTCAAAGGCATCAAGAAGTTCCAAAAGATATTGGAAGGATTTTTGTGTGCTCTGCCTTTGCTTTTTGTTGGTTTTGGAAATTTACAGTAAATATGGTTGCTGTGGAGTGATTCCCAGTGATGGCGCCCCCTGTGTGCGAGAGTGGAAGCGCGCGTCACAGGGTTCTCCGCGCTGCTTTTCAGAAGCAGATCACCAACCAGGGCTCCTTCTGGTCGGTCAAGAGAGACTCGAACCTCCAGTCTCTCACTTAGCACTTGAGCATGTTAACCATTGCACCCATAAATCCTGGCTTTCAATAATAATCTTAAAAGTTATGAGAAATTGGTAAAACTCTCATATTCATTAATATGTTTACAAATAAGCCCTCTTCGTCTTCCCATATTGCTTTGTATTGACAGATGGTTATTTGCATTTGTAAATATCCATTTATAATGAGGATTTTGAGTTTTTAAAAATCTGTACCTCCCACATTTAAAACGTTAACATTTTTAAAACTATAAAATTTAGAAACATTTTTTTCAAATTGAAATTATTGAAATATATTTCATGCGTTTTGTAGTTCCTAGGGAGCCATACTGCTGCGCCTCCCTGGCCGGATCCACCAGGGGTCAGTCTCCTCCTGTGCCTTTGACAACTTTAGAAGACAGAGGAGGTTCAGTTTCGAGTGAGCTCCAACTCTGCAGCTGGGAGGGACTGAATCGCTCAGTGCCTTTGAGCTGAGCCTCCAGCAGGTTTCCCAAGGCTGTAGATCACACAGGAAGAGATTGCCCATGTTTCTCCAGAGAAGCAGCGGAGAAATTCAAACCGCATGCCCTGTGGATGTCAGTGGGGCTTCCTACCCACTGCAGTTGTTAATTGTATATCGTTGAGTCAGAACCAACCCATACCTGACCCTTCAGAGAGTTTTCAGAAACCGCCCAGGTTTGCCCATCTTTCTCCCATGAAGCAGCTGGTGGAATCGAATTGCGTACCTTTGTGTTGGCTGCACAATCCCTTACCACTAAGCCACCTGGTAGTTTATCTAATTTGATTTTTCACTTTTCATAGTTCTGGTTTTTGGTTTCTAGTTTCACTATTTTAAAGAACTTTGTGGTGATAGGTTTCCTGTTATAATTTTTAATACTGAGTATTCAGCCCAATTTTCTTCCCTCTAGAAAGTTGTTTTTATGAAGGAAATAGCAAAAAAGTAAGGCCCCAGGAATAGATGGTATACCAATTGACGTATTTCAGCTTACAGATGCTGCCCTGGACGTGCTCACCAAGTTGTGCCAAGAAATCTGGAGAACAACCGCTTGGCCAACTGACTGGAAGATCTATATTTGTTCCCATTCCAAAGAAGGGTGACCCAACAGAGTGTGGAAACTATAGAACAGTAATCATTGATTACACATGCAAGCAAGATTCTACTGAAGATTATCCAAAAACTACTGGAACAGCACATCAGCAGAGAACTGCCAGAAGTCCAGGCTAGGTTTAGAAGGGGCTGTGGTACTAGGGATATTGTAGCTAATGTTAGATGGATCTTGGCTGAAAGCAGGGAATACCAGAAGAATGTCTATCTGTGTTTCACTATGCAAAGGCGTCAAACTGTGTGGATCATAACAAAATGGCTGACTCTGAGAAGAATGGGAATCCCAGAACACTTGATCGTGCTAATGAGAAACCTATACTTGGACCAAGAGGCAGTCGTCAGAACAGAGCAGGGAAACACTGCATGGTTCAAAATTGGGAAAGGCGTATGCCAGGGATGTGTCCTGTCTCCATACCTTTTCGACCTGCATGCAGAACAGATTATCCGAGAGGCTGGGCTCTATGAGGAGAAGTGTGGCATCAGGATTGGTGGAAGGTCTATTAACAATCTGTGTTATGCAGATGACACACCCTGCTTGCTGAAACTGAGGAGGACCTGAAATGCTTGCTGCAGAGGGTCAAGGACTGCAGCCTTCAGTATGGATTGAGGCTCCATGTCAAGAAGACAAAGATTCTCACCACTGGACCAATTGGCAGCATCAGGATGGATGGCGAAGAGATTGAGATTGTTAACAACGTTAGTCGGCTTGGCTCCATAGTCAACACTCTTGGCACCAGTAGCCAGGAAATTAAAAAATGTATTGCGATGGGAAAGTCTGCTGTTAGGGACCTCTCCAGGGTACTGAAGAGCAATGGTGTCACTCCAGAGACTAAGGTGCATCTGATACAGGCTGTGGTCTTTGCAATCACTTGTTATGCATCAGAGAGTTGGACAATGACTAGGAAGGATAGAAGGAGAATTGATGCCTTTGAGCTGTGGTGCTGGAGAAGAGTATTGAATGTACCATGAACTGCCAAGGAAACAAATTCATCCTGGAGACGGTTAAACAGGCTGCTCCTTGGAGGCAAGAATTCTGGGGCTTTGTCTGACATACTTTGGACATGTTGTAAGGAGGGACAGGTTCTTGGAGAGGGACATCATGCTTGGGAGGGTGGAGGGATGGCACAAGAGGAGAAGACCCTTGTTGAGGTGGACTGATTCAGTGACTGGGGTAATCGGGATGGGTATGTCAGAGGCAGTGCGATTGGCACAGGACAGAGCAGAGTTTAGGGCTGTTGTACATAGGGTCGCTATGAGTTGCAAGCGACTCGACGGCACATAACAACACTAACAACATAAAGTTTTGGGAACTCAGTTTCTTGCCAATTTCTTGTTTCGGTGGAAAGAAGATACAAAGTGTGGTTTGGTGCCGTAAGCTCAAGCGGATGCAGAACTCAGAGAAAATTCTTTTGGTTATTCCCAGAGAAGAGCTAGATTCTACCTTTAAATCTAAGCTAAATTATGTCTGTGTGAGAACTATTTTAATTGTTAATGTCCTAGCTCTGTTTGTGCAGGAGTTAAAGCTTTCAACTGTTAATCAAAAGGTTCAGTGGTTCCGAGTCACCGTGGGAGGAAAATGTGGCAGTCTGTTACACAGAAGCAGTTGAATTTATTGAGCATTTATTTATGTGCTTGACACAGTTCTAAGTTCTCGACTCATGTCCACTCATTTAGAGCCTGACAGCATGCTGCAGCCTTGGTACTGTTGTAAAGCAGCCCTCTCCATCTTCCCAGTGTTGTCCTCCTTCCAGGAGACATTGGTTTGAGGATTGAGCTTGTGTGTTTAATGTTGCAGGAGGCCGTGACGTTCAAGGATGTGGCTGTGGTCTTCACCGAGGAGGAGCTGGGGCTGCTGAACTCTGGCCAGAGGACACTGTACCGAGACGTGATGCTGGAGAACTTCAGGAACCTGGTCTCCTTGGGTGAGGATGGGCGCCCTTGTCACTTAGCTTGAGGCCCTGTGTACCAGGGGTTTCTTTGCCATGACATGGTTAACATTTTGTGCCAGGTGACGTCGCTGTAGGGGGCAGCCCTGAGCATTGTAGAATGTTAGCAGCACAGCTGTCCTCCACCTTCTCTTCCAAGGCTTTGGGAAACTTAGGTGTCCAAGCTTTCCAGTCCCTTTAGAGAATAAAGACACAGTGTCCCAAAGCAAGAATTGGAATTGGTCTTTCATAAATGATCAATAAAATGAGCAAGGGGGTGTGGCTGCTCCGGGCTTTCTCTTTCTTATTTCCTTAGAAACGGTGAGTAATGATCATTAATGGTGTTAACTAAGTTGCATCAGTATTTTTTAATGTTTTTTTAAATTAATTTTAATGAAGTTTCCAGAGACTTAGGGTTTCCAGTCATTCACTGTTGCACTTTTCTCCCTATTCCCCCCCCCAATTCACTCTTCTCCTTGAAAAGAAAAACTCTTTCATTGTTATTCAATCCCTCCCCCCAAGTCCACTCCACTGTGCAGCCTTCACTCCATATTTCTGTAATGACAAGAATACCCATTCATAAGTCCCTTTTAAACAGTTCTCTCCCTCATCTGTTTCAATGCAATACACGTCATTCCTCGCCTCCTTTTCTGTCTTCCCTCAACCCTGATGCCAGTCCCATTTCACAACAGTGGCCCTAAGCAATATTTGTCCTTTTGTGACTGAGATATTTCACTCAGCATAATGTCCTCCAGAGTTATCCATTTTGCATATTTCATTAATTCCTTGTTTTCAATGCTGTGTAGTATTCCATTGTGTGAATATACCAGAGCTTCTCTATCCATTCATTTGTTGATGGGCACTTGGGTTGTTTGCAGCTCTTTGCTATTGCAAACAAAGCTGCAAAAAAGATGGGTGTGCATGCATCACTATTTTTGTAATAGATTGTTGTGTGCCATCCATATGAGTCAAACTGACTCATAGCTGACCCTTCAGCTCATTTTCAGAGGCTATAAGTTGCATGGGAGATTGTCCATCTTCCTCCCCAGAGCAGCTGGGAGATTTGAACCACCTGTCTTTGGGTTGGCAGCAAAATTCTTTGCAACCCGATGACACTGAACAACAGCAGCAACAGGCCACCAAAGGTTCTTAAATTAGAATAGAGCAGCAAAAGCAGAGCTCCTTCGCTAGAATAAGGAGCCCTGGTTGGTTGCTAACTAAAAGGTGAACAGTTTGAACCCATCAGCCACTCTAAGAAAGCTGAGCCTGGCTCCTCCCATGAAGATTTGCACCCTCGGAAGCTGACTGGAAGTCACCCGAGTTAGAATCTTCTAGGGGGCAGTGGTTTAGGAATAGCAGGGATGGAACGTGTTACAGCAACAACTGCAGCTGCTTGTAAAGTGATGCGGGACACAGAAGAGATGTGATGAAAGATAAAAATGTTTAGAAACAGGTCATCTAATAAAGCTTTTTAGAGTGTAAGTACACACATGCAGCATCATGCTGAATGCCGCCAAGTGGGAACCCGCTCACAGCTGACCCTCTGGCGGGTTTTCAGAGGCTGTGAATCACACAGAAGGAGGTTACCCATCTTTCTTCCAAGGAGCAGCTGGTGGATTTGAACCACTTGCTTTTGGGTTGGGAACACAATTCCTTACCCACTAGGCCATCATCTCTTACATATGGGCCACAGTAAATGATGTTTGGGAAGTCAAGTCGGTGGAGGGCAGCCTCGGATCATGGGGCTGGCAGCAGACTTTTTTGTAATCTTTGCCTGTGGTCTCTCTCTTGTGTGTTCATAGGACATCAGTTCTTCAAGCCGGATGTGATCTCGCAATTGGAGAGAGAGGAGAGGCTGTGGGTGAAGGGGTTCCAGACCCAGAGAGGTGGGTGTCCAGGTGAGAGCCATGCCACTAGGAGGGGTCCCCGTGGGAACAGCTGAGGCTCCTGTCCACACAGCACCAGAGTGCCCAGAAACCCCAGTCACCTCCTGTCGCTCCTCTGCTTCAGCCCCTGCACCGGCTTCCTGTTTGAGCAGAGTAGGGGACACAAACGCTTGCTCACTCACTTTGTTGATTGCTGTCAAGTAGGTTCCCACTTGTATGTATAGTGCAGAAATGCTCACCTCCCTGAGGCAGATGGTCAGTCGTCCTACCTCAGCACCCCTGGTGGGTTCAAAGATCATCTCTTCTTTTTTTTGTTGTGATGTGTTTGTAGGGAGCTGCACTGCTTACTCAAAGGCTGTACCTCAGGCAGTTCGAAACCACTAGCGCCTCCATGGGAGAGAGATGGGCATTCTCCTCCCAGGCATTTTGCAGCCTCTGAAAGCTCACTGGAGGGTCAGCTAGGAGTCGGTCCCACTCAATGGTGAACTGAGTGAGTGTGATTTCAGTGAAAGTTTACAAAACAAATTGATTGGGGTTTTTTGTTTAATGGGTCATACACATTTTGTTTTATAACATCAGTCACAATGCCGTGCTGAAATCGTATTTCCTCCACTTCCTTCCAGTGATTCTGATTCCACCAATCCTTCTATCCTAGCAGTTGATGCCTCCAGAGCTTTATCTCTGGGCAGCTTTTAGGTTAACTCTCACTCTCCCTGCCCTTGAATCTGAATCAACTCATAACTGACTGTCCAGCAGGTTTTTACAGGCTAAGAATCTCAGGAAAGGAGATTGCCCATCTTTTCCTTGAGGAGCCTCTGCTGGATTCGAACTGCCAGAGAGGCACCACCTTTGGGTTAGCACCACAGCTCGCTATAGACCACGCGCCACTAGAGCTGCCTCTAGTCTAACGGCTGCGTCTGAACCATTTGTGCCATCCTGTGACCTCACCTCCCCTTGCTTGATGACTCTGCGTTTTGCTTGTTTATTTTTTAAATATCTAAGACTTATACATACCATAGACCTCCAAGAAAATAAATAGGTCTCTCTTGGAGAGGGTGAAACCAAGTTTCTCCTTGGAGGCTAGTTTTTGTTTGTTTTTAATTCTTTTTAATAATTTTAATGAACATTTACAAAGAATTTGGATTTCCATTCATTCATTGCTACACTTCTCTACCCGTCCAGCCCTCTCCCCCCGCCCCCCAGTTCGCTCCTCTCTTTCAAAAGTAAAAGAAAGACTCTCTCCCTGGTACACAATCACCCCGCACCCCTCCCACCGCTCCAAGTACATTCCACCATGCAACCTTAATTGTGGACTCTTGTGATAACCTTAATACCCTATCATACATCGCTTTTAAATTATTCACTCCCTCATCTGTTTCAGTGCAGTATACACAATTTATCCAGTTTTTCTCAGTCTTACCCCAACTCTGATATCAGTCCCATTTTACAGCAGTGGCACCATGCAATATTTTTCCTTTTGCAACTGAGATATCTCACGGAGGCTAGTTTTTGAAGCTGTGTCTCACATACTTTGGGTGCATGTGGCCAGAGAGGATTGATCCTTGGAGAAGGACATCATGCTCAGACACAGGAGATGAAGCCCTCAGACGAGATGGATTGATAACAGTAACTGGGACAGTGGGGGTTTGTGTGTCGGAATTAGTGAGACTGGTTCAGGACAGGGCAGGGTTCAGAGCTACTGTTCATAGGGTCGCTATGGGTCACAGGGACTCAATGGCACATAACAACAACAACAATTTTCTGTGTGGTGAAACTAGACACAGCAAAATCACTCCTTCCCCATTTCTGGACATGATGATGATGAGTAACAGGGTTACATTTTCCACATTGTATCAACATTCTTGGTATTTCTTTTCTAGTTGTTTCACCTCTATTTTTTCTTAATCTTCCTACCTCACAACCATCTCATCTATGTTTTAAAATGTTGTTGACCTTTAAGAGTTGTTGTTGTTGTTGTTGTTGTTATGTGCCACCGAGTCACTTGCGACTCATATTGACCCTGTGTACAACAGCCCTAAACTCTACTCTATCCTGTGCTAATCTTACAGTCTCTGACACACCTTCCCCCATTACCCAGTCACTGAATCAATCCATCTCATTGAGAGTCTTCCTCTCTTGCACTATTCCTCCACCGTCCCAAGCATGATGTCCTTCTCCAAGAACTGGTCCCTCCTTATAACATGTCCAAAGTATGTCAGACGAAGCTTCAGAATCTTTACCTTCAAGGAGCATCCTGATTTCACCTTCTCCAGGATGAACCTATTTTGCTTTCCTAGCAATCCATGGTATATTCAACATTCTTTTCCAGCACCACAGCTCAAAGGCATCAATTCTCTTTTTATCATCCCTACTCCTTGTCCAGCTCTCTGATACATAGCAAGCAATTGTGAAGACTATGGCCTGGATCAGGGCACCTTTGTCTCTAGCCTGATATCGTTGCTCTTTAGTTCTCTGGAGAGGTCCCTGACAGCAGACTTTCCCAGTGCAATCGGTCTCTTGATTTCCTGGCTGCTGGTACCAAGAGTGTTGATTGTGCAGCCAAATAAACTAAAGCTGTTAACAATCTCAGTATCTTCACCATCCATGATGCTGCTGCCAGTTGGCTCAGTGATGAGAATCTTTCTTTGCTTTCTTGATGTTGAGCTTCAATCGATAGTGAAGGCAGCAGTCTTTGATCTCTGCAGCAAGTGCTTCAGAGCCTCCTCAGTTTCAGCAAGCAGGGTTATGTCATCTGTATAACGCAGGTTGTTGATGAGTCTTCCTCCAATCCTGATGCCACATTCCTCCTCATACAGCCCAGGCTCCCGGATAATCTGTTCTGCATATAGAGTGAAAAGGTATGGAGACAAAATACAACCCTGGCATACTCCCTTCCTGACTTTGAACTATGCAGTGTCTTCTTGCTCTGCTCTGATCACTGCCTCCTGGTTCAAGTACAGGTTTCATAAATTTTAGAGTTACAAAATGAAAGTATGACCTTTTGGAGTTATATAATCAAGAAAAACCTTTTAGAGTTTATAACCCAAAGAGCAAACCCGCTGTCATGGAGTCAGTTCCGACTCTCAGCGATCCTCCACTGCGTGTTCTCCCCCAAGAGGACTGGTGGATGCAAACTCTGAACCTTTTAGTTCACAGCTCAACACATAATACGTGTGCCTGTGGGGCTCATTTTAGTGTTACCCAGGTAGTTGGCTGTTTGCTTTTAATCACTCCTTGCATTAAAATGTTACTTAATTTAAAGGTTACTTCAGGGGATCGTTTCAATTCTGGATTTGAAGACCTCAGGGCCATAGTCTCAGGGATTCCAGCCTCTATAATTTTTTTTTAAACACTGTACATTTTTCTCTTTACTGTGATGTCTGATGTACTGGGGTGGGGGTGGGGGGAATAAGAAATGAGTTTCCCATTTTAAGTACATTTTCAAAGCTTATCTATAAATTTAAACCCTTTGTGGGATACTAAAGGGAAAGGATAACTATAGGCATCACCACGTTCTGTAGGTTCATGTTCATCTGCCACATGTATCCAAAATGAGGAGAAGGTACAGAAATCTTTGCCACTTTTCTTACATTCATAGCTGGTTTAACCAGTGTGAGTCCACAACAGGTTTGCATCCAGACAACTGCTTTGCCGACAGGAAAAAATGTGGAAAAAAAATGTGGAATTCTGATGCAGATGTTGGCAGGGCGATTGCAGTCGTTTCATACACCTCCTCTACTGTTTGATGTCTCCAATGGTACTCTTGGATTTTAAGTAGAACTTCTTTGCCACACAAATTTTATATTTTTTCCTAACATGTAAGGCCAGGAATGGTCTTCAAGAATTTCAGTTGAGTGCATTCAGGGGAATTCTTTGTCATTAACGTTTTCAAGGCCTATGAAGTCCTGGTTTTTCAAGGTTTCCACCATCAAATCCCTGTAGTTTCTTCTGAGCAACATTCAGCAAAGTCCGTTCGTCTTGGCTGGTGTCATTTCCTTGTTACACTTCTGTAGTTCTAAGGGTGGGTCTTTGCTAAAAAAAATCACTTGAAGAACATCATTCCGAGTGGGAGAAGAGCACAATATAATTTGGAGGCAGATGGAAAATGTTTGGTCTGCACTCCCTTCACAGGTGCTGGAATCCTTCCTTGGGGTTTACAGAAATCCATGATGGTCCCTCCTGGTCCCCAGCTGACTGGATTGGACAAATTCTCCTTGTACCACAACTGAGACCGTAATCTTAATTTTTTTGATGTCCAGAAATTTAAAAAAAAAGATGGAACTCTCTTGATGAAGTGGAGAACTCAGAGCAGAGCCATTTGAAGTGCAGGAACTCAGGAAAAGAAAAAAAAAAAAGAAGTGCAGGAACTCGTGGCCTGGACGCCCAGCTCAGTGCCTCCAGCGACTTGGCAGCGGAGCCCCCCCCTCCCAGCTGGACTCCGGGACACACCACGCATGCGCAGATGAGAGCGGTGCCTGGGCCCGGAGCGGGCTGCTCAGCGACCTGGTCTAATGTGACGGAGACAAAGGAAAATTCACGTCACAACAGCTGTGATAGCAGAGCTGGCCTCTCAACCTCTATAACTTCTTGAAGAATTTAGTTCCGTTTGGCATTTTCTCCCTTCTCAGAATTCACATACTAGATCCTTGATCAAATGCAGTAGTAGCGGGCACCATCTAGATCCTCTGGCCTCAAAGTGGAGGAGGCAGGGGTTCCTGAAGATAGCACTTTATTCCATTCCCACTCTGCATCTGGGGTTCTCTTATTGTTTCAGGTGAATAAAGAACAATAGTTACCTCTTTTTGAGGGCCACTCAGAAGCTTTTAAGACCCCTAGACATTAGGGGAGGGCTAAGTAAGTTAATTGTCCATTAAAAAAAGTGAACTGAGGGAGGGCATACGGAGGAAGGGGATTAAAGGTGCAATAATGAATGAATGAAAATCCAACACTTTTTTATAAATGTTCATTAAAATTACAATTAAAATTTTATTTAAAAATAA